TTAGTCCAACATGACTAGCCCTTGGTAAATTCATGTTGACTGTTCCTGACCACTTCCTTCTCCTCCAAGTGCTTAGAAATGGATTCCTTGAGGCTCCAATCCATGATTTTTCTGGTGACTGAGGTGAGGTTGACTGGCCTGTAGTTCCCTGCATCCTCCTTCCTTTTCTTAAAGATGGGTACTATATTTGCCCTTCTCCAATTGTCCAGTACCTCTTCTGATTGCCACAAGTTTTCAAAGGTAATGGCCAGCAGCTCTGCAATCATACCAACTAACTCCCTCAGCACCCTCTGATGCATTGTGTCTGGCCCCATGGACTTGCATACATCCAGCTTTTCTAAATAGCCCCTAAGGTGTTCTTTCACTACTGAAGGCTGTCCACCTTCTCCTGAAACTGTGCTGCCTGGTACAGTAGTTTGGGAGCTCACCTTGTCTGTGAAGACAGGTAAAAAAGGCATTGAGTAATTCAGGAATTTCCTCATCATCTGTCACTAGGTTGCCTTCTCCATTCAGTAAGAGACCCACACATTCCCTGACCTTCCTCTTGTTGGTAACATACTTGCAATAACCTTTTTGTTACCCTTCATATCCCTTGCTAGCTGCAACTCCAGTTGTGCTTTGCCCTTCCTGATTTCAGACTTGCATGCCCGAGTAATAATTTTATACTGCTCTGTAGTCATCAATCCAAGCTTACAGTTTTTGTAAGTTTTTTTTTTTGTGTTTAAGATCACTGAAGGGTTCTCTGCTAAGTCAAATTGGTTGCCTGCCATATTTGCTATTCTTCTTGCACATTGGGTTTGTTTGTTCCTGTGCCCTCAGTAAGATTTCTTTAAAATACAGCCAGCCATCCTGGAATCCTTGCCCCCTCAGACTGGCCTACCAGGAAATCCTGCCCATCAGTTCTCTGAGGGAGTCAGTCTGCTTTTCTGAAGTTCAGGGTCTGTGCTCTGCTGCTCTTCTTTCTTCCTGAACTTGATTATCTCATGGTCACTGCTGCCCAAGTTGCCATCCACTTCTATATCCCCTATCTATTCTTTGCTGTTTGTGAGCAGCAGGTCTAGAAAAGCATGGTCCCTAGTTGGTTTCTCCAGTACTGGTACCAGGGAGTGGTCTCCAGCACTCTCCAAAAACTTTCTGTATTGCCTATGCACTTCTGTATTGCCCTCCCAGTAAATATCATGGTGGTCGAAGTCCCCCATGAAAACCAGGGCCTGTGATTGGGAGACTTCCACTAGTTGTCTGAAGAAACTCTCATCTACCTCATCCTCCTAGTCTGGTGGCCAATAGAAGATACCCACTATGACATCACCCTTGTTGCTCCCCCCTGTAACCTTAACCCTAATATTCCAGTTGAAGTCAGTAGGAGATTAAGTTTAGTGGGAACAGAATTTAGGATACTCCTCAATCCCTTATTTATCAGTTATATCCTATATAACATAGCTGTCTCTATAACTAGTGTAGTTAATTATAAGTGTTTTAATATCATTTGAACAGTAGAAGAAAGTGGTTTTCAACCTGTGGTCTGTGGATTTCTGGGGGTCTGCAGTCTATGTCTACAGGGTCTGTGTAAGAAGACTATGATCAATCAAAAGTTTTTGAATACCCACACTTACAACTCAAAGGGGTCTGCTCTTCCATGGTCTGCAAGTGAAAAAAGGTTGAAAACCACTGTTATAGAAAAATAATTATATAAAATAAAATATAATTTCATTCATAAAAGTAGTAATTTGCCATAATAACATAATACATATAAAATATTATATGCCAAAACTTTCCACTTTTTATCTGTAATTGTGGCTATTCCAGTTTTGGCTACAAGAAAGCCATGTTTTTCCTATTATTACCCCCCAAAAAAACAAACACAAAAACCAACCAACAGTCCCAGTAGCCATAACTAGTCATATCTTTGTATAATCCTTATTGATATATTTGTTAAATTGTTGCTTCACTGTTTTTCCATAGACTGTGTTAAACTGAAGTTTTTAGAGAAATAATTGTATTTATTTTTATTGTGATTTTTTTTACTTATAAACAAGAATATTTTAGTTTTTAAAACTAAGTGCATATATGGAAGCTTCTTCAAGTGCCATGCTTAACTTGCATGCCTTTGGTATGCATGTTAAATTTATAAAATTTTTAGTGAAACAAGATTACACAGTATATTCAAATCTTTAAATAGTCCACAACTTAATTTCTTGTAGGTTTTCTTGCCAATTGAGTCTATTTTTTAGTCTTAGATGATGATGCTTCAGAGGTTAAACCCCAAAATGAGTAAAAGAGATCACAGAGAAGATCTTAGCTCATAATGTTGATCCCTTGCTATTATGTACAATGGCTGTTTTCTAATTGCTATATAAACGTTTAACTTTGATGAAAAAGATTGGTTTCCAAATGACATATGCTCAGACTATGACTTATGTTCATTCTACCCTATCAGATGGTTTGTTTGTTTTTCTGTGTACAAAAACATGGAAGAGAAAAGCAGGCTTTATTTATAATGTTCCTTTCATAAGAGGAAAAAATACTCATACGCTTGCATGTTCCTTTCTGTCCTTAAATATGAGATTATATGTTAGTTGAGGAACCAGATACTCTATTCATTCATCTAACTTTAGCTAACTCTTAAATCTTTAAGAGTGAGTCTCTTCATCTAATATCTTAGAGGTATCATAATTTTCAGAGGATTTTTTTTTTATTTTATACAATTTATCCCATACCATTATCCCATACCATTAAATGAGAAGCATTTTATAGTATGACTTAATTATATTTGCTGTGTTTTGTACCTGCTTCTTTTTTAGTTCAAACTACCAACACAATAGTGGTATACTCTTCATGCTTGTGGTGCCTCTGGCTGTGATTAAAAAAATATATTTTGCTTTTTAATTCAGTAAAAAATATTTTTTATTTCATACCAATTCTAACAAGTGCCAAATTTAGCAACTATCCAAAGAATCAAGTGTGAACCAAGTAAGCCTAAATTGCCAAGATTTTAAAAAATGATTTTATAAACTTTGCATCCTTATGCATAAATTAATTAGGCCAGACATGGAATATGCCAGATATATTTTTTCTAGTTTTCTAGCCTGAAAACTTCGAAGATATGTGAGATTCTTACCTAAATGCCTAATTTTGAATTAATTATCACACATTTTAAATTTAGGGTAGATATGGACTGAGGAAGTAGAGTTAAGATCTAGATTTGGGTTCAGATTCTATAGCACTGAAATAAGGCAGTTGTTCATACATTTTTTTTCTGCTGGGTAGTTAAGGGGAAGCAAACTTCCAGAAATTTCAAAAGAACTGCAGGTATCACATTTCTTTCCTCTGTGTCCAAGGCTCCACAACCTGAATAATAATATAGACTTACTCACATTGGCTAAGTACATACAGTCAAAAACCCAAGGCTGTATTAATTCCGTCTTCACAGGCTAGTCTAAACTTCATGGATTAAACCTATAAGCAATTGAAGAGACATTCACTTTTGATTCCAGAAATGCAGCCACACATGCCTGCAATGGTCCAAGCCAGAAGCTGGGGGGACTAGAGCACATCTTCTTTCTTGGCTGGAGCAGATAGCTTGGACCGAGGCTAGCCCACCCACCCTGTGGGAGTGGTGGTTTTCAGGGAAGATGCAAAGCATACTGGGATGTGGGGGGACTGTGAGTGAACTTGGATCTGGAGAGGATTTGGGACAGAAGTTCAATAAACTGATTTAACCTAAATCAGTTAAGTCGGATACTATATCCACCTAGGTTTATCTTAAACTGGTTTCAGCCATTTTGAAAGTGGTTTGTATGCACTGTATTTCAGTTGTGTTACAGATTTGAACTGGTTTATAATAATTTGTACTGTTTTATGTGTAATTTCTGTCCCTAGCCATTGAAGCAGTTATGGATTCTCTTGCATGAGTTAGAGTTCCCAAGGAAGGGGAAAGGGGTATTGTCCTCATTTCACCCTTCATTTCACCTGATCTCCTCACATTGTGGTGATCCACAGATCACATATTCTACATGGGAGTCACTATCCCACAATTGTCCACGGTAGTATCTGAAAAATGGCTACATGAATGATCTCTGCTCTTGGTTCCAGACTGGAGAGTTTTCTACCAATCAATTGCCATATGGATTTTTTGACAAAGTTCACTTAATTGGTCTTTGGACACTGGGCAAACTTTGTTCAGGGTGTTTTTTAGTAAAAGGAGTGTCAGAATAACCACTTAATACTTTGGAGCACTTTTTCCATCATATGCATCCATCTTTTGCAATTTCCTCACTTAAGCAATATATCCCGTCTTTATTCTCTGAGTTGCAAAAGTTAAAACAATGATTGACTTCTGGCCTGTACTTCAAAGAGAAATTGTCCAGGGAAAAAAATAAAATAAAATGGCTTGAAGTTTCTATTACATATAAATAGGCATCTGCTTTGCTTTTCTTAAAATAAGTTACTCATGAAGTTGTCTCAGAAATAATGTCTGCACAATTTGTCACATGCAAGGTTATTGCTCTGTTTATCTGCATTCCTGTGAACAAGGCTTAATAGAGAACATCTACCCCGAACATCTACCCCAAATAAGCTTTGTGTTAAGGGAAGAAGTAATGCATGGAATAGAATGTGACTTCTCTGCATGCCACCCTTATTATGTATAGTAGGATACTTTCTCCAATTTTTAGAAAAGGAACAACAGAAAAGTAATGCATAAGGAACTGCTATCAAGCTGTTTTATGCACACATAAATATGCAATGCCTTAATGATTTAAGCTTCTGTAATGATTTAAGGTGTCAAGACATTTGGGAAGAAAAGTGGGAACTGGAAGACTAAAAAGCCTGTACAGTTTGAAAAAAAAAGGAGTTTAATAACAACAACAACAAAAAATTAACGTAGCTATTTGGACAGAAAAAAATCCAAGATTTAGAAAACTTCAATCTCTCCTTTAGTAGAAAAGCATAAATGTCCAAGAAATAGTTATATCTTTGTAACTCTGTCACTTTCTTTTTAGGTGGAAACTTCCCCGAAGATTTTTCAATATTATTGACCGTGAAACCTAAGAAGGGGATCCAATCCTTCCTTTTATCTATCTACAATGAACAGGGTATTCAGCAAGTAGGTGTGGAAGTTGGTAGATCCCCTGTCTTCCTGTATGAAGATCAACATGGGAAACCTACCCCAGAAGATTATCCTCTTTTTAGGACAGTCAACATTGCAGATGGCAAGTAAGTGTAAAATAAACTGTATTTAATATGAAATGTAATAACTGCAGCGGAGCTACTGGACTGACTGTTATTCAGTTGTATATATTGCATTTATTATAAACATGTGCAACACTTCTTTTTCTTAATATGTGTGTGTGAGGTTTTGAAGTCTAATCAGTCTTATGTGCCTGAGGCTAGCGTGACAATTTGCTTTCACAATTAGAACAACTAATTTCCAGACAAAGGAAACAAAAAATTTAAATCCTGGCTAAGTAGCACTGGTTAGCGATCAGATTCCATTAACTTCATGGCATTCCTTTTGATATTTAAAAGCCTTTTGTAACCACAGTCCAAACGATCTCCCTGCTTTGGACACCCTTTGTGCCTACAAATGCCAGCTGAAGTCATTTGTTTCTAGACGTCATCTTGCTTCTCACTAGTTCCACATATTTTCTGTGACATTCCTTGCCCATAGCAAACAGCTATGTGGTCATATGTTCACTGTCTCATATATATAGTGTCCGTTGCTTACAGTTGTTTAGTTGGTCATTAGAAATTTACTTATTAAACTGGTCCATGTCTTTTATCATGACAATAAATTAATAGTATAAATGATAGCTAGGAAAACCCTGCAAAATATTCATAAATAACTTTCTAATAACAATAAGCCAGTTTAACACTATTTACAACTTTTATTATGCATTTTTGTGAATGTTGTAGAAACAAATCTTTTTCAATGAATACTCATAGAAAAAAATGCCCATGTTACTGTATATATGCATTTGCAAAACTCTTAATGCTGAAAATGCTTGTGCATTCATCTTTTAAAACATCTTGTAAGGTTTGCAATTAGTTCAAATAGGCGGGAAAAATGATATTGTATTACATAGGTACCTAATCACAGAGCGCATGGAACAAATTGCAAATAGCAAAGCCTTGACCAGAGTGAAGTGTTCATAACCAACCCATACAAATCATTCATCAAATAATTTTAATGACTAACAAATTAATAAATATTGAAGTCTGTCCACAGAACCTCCATACATAATAAGACAGGAAGTTAATTCATCTAATAAAATATAGTGAAGAGTTCATTTATCTCTGTTGTGTGTGCATTGAATAAAGTTCTTATATTAGCAAAACATTAAGAGAAAGATAGCTCGATCTGAAGCCTATTAGAGTCAAATGGAGTCTTTTCACTGACTTCAGTGAGCTTTGGATCTTGCTCTAATGTACAGACTTAAAACAGCACATATATCTCTAGGTATCACATAAGATAACTGAGAGAGTGTGAAGGAATATTTCCTATTTCTTATGTCTCTTATAAAGCAAAATTTTATGTATACAGGTTTCCCTCGCTTTATTCTGCACAGGTGTTCCTGGAAAATAGTGCATAACTCGAATTCCCATATAGGGAACCCACTTTACAATGTAACAAATAGGGATACATTCCAAGATCTTGACTGTACTGACCCCCAAACCCATTTCTACTATTTTTACAAGGCAATTTTGGTACTCACCAACAGCAGACAGTACGCACAAGTACAGGGTTGTGGTGAATGTTACCATAATGGGAATGGCAACTATAGAAGCACGTGTCGCAGACATTGAGCGAGGAGCACAGATCCATACAGGAGACTATATTTTGGTTTGTGCCACTCCCACAATATACCATACAAAGCAGCTGACTGTGGGCTTCCACCACACTGATCGTATAAGAATGAATTTACCTCGTATATAACAAATTTTTGGTATAAAAAGGATCAATGCAGAAGAGTGAATTCGCACATACAGAACCCACGTAAAGTGAGAGAAACCTGTACAGGACAGGAAAAAAAAAATCTTAAATTGCTTCAATGCATAATTTTTGTATGACGAATTGTGCTAACATGTTGTAGGTATTGTGGATTGAATTTAACAAAAATACTACATTTGTAATTTTTAAAAAGCTGGGGTTTTGTTGCTTTTCAGTAAATGTAGGTATTCGATTATTTGCATTACAAAATGTGGTATTACCCTACTTATTAAAAATCTGTATTTTATACATGACTTCTGCTGGAAGGCTTTGTCCATCAAAAGACTTAAGGACTTCTTTGCAGCTAATTCTATTAGTCGCAGGTGTGACACATTCTCACTGACGTTTATTGGAATATTTTTACTGACTCCAGTGGGAACTGGATTGGAACATAGGAACTTAAAGTACATGCTTAATCGTTTTACTGGATCAGGAGTAAATGCATCTCCATTCAGACATGTGTAAACACATTTTATTTTAGTTTTAAAATCAAATTTCATTTTTATTTTTTATGCTAGCTATAGAAAAACTTCTTGAAAGTACTTCCTATGGAAATGTTAGTCCTTAAAAGGGAGGGTCAATTATGAAAAAAAGGAAAGTAATTTAGTTCAGTATGCATTTTTTAATTGGATGACAGTTTGTCATGCACTTTTCTTGATATAGTGGTTTGGGTTTTTTTAAGGGGTTTACAGAAGTGTTGTTTTCCTTTGCTAGGTGGCATCGGATAGCAATCAGCGTAGAGAAGAAAACTGTTACCATGATTGTTGACTGTAAAAAGAAAACCACAAAACCACTTGAGAGAAGTGACCAAGCAATTGTTGACACCAATGGCATCGCTGTCTTTGGAACCAGAATTCTTGATGAAGAAGTTTTTGAGGTAAACCATTATTGTTAAATGATTTGATGATGGGTAGGGCTAAAACAACAAATGCTCAAACAGAAAATTCATCAGGCAAAGCTGGTGCATTCAATGCTTCCCTGTTAAAGGACCTGTTACTCTGTGTCCCACTATCAGTTGGTTGGGAACCAGTTATCTAGAATACTTGAAAGAAATGTATAGTCTGGAGAGCAGAATGTTGTTTTTTAAACTTCCTTAGCATATCATTGATTCTGGAAAGAGCTCTTATTTCCTTTTGTTGCCCAACATAAGGATACCTGCAATGTATAGGAGAGCTAATGTAGAAGTGATGGGACAGTCTGAGATGGAAGCATTTTATCCTCCTCTAAGTGGATGATCTATGCTAAATATGAATTGTTACTTGCACCCCAGACTTCCTTCCTTTCTTCCTTCTTCCTTCCTTCTTTCAGGGCTATGAAAAGTTCTCTGCATACTGTGGATCACTATTTGTATGGAACAATACTTTGAAAAAAAAAGAAGTATGCATTTGTTTCCATTGTTTATGGGAGGGGAAAGAGGGGATTGTGGAGAGGATGAAATGCACCCATGTGAGAAAAAATGCAACACAGTAATTAGTCCCCTATAGGAAACATTTCTACAGAAGATTATTTTAACAGGCTTAGAAGAAATGATGTCCCTAAATCTCTGTGCTTGGTTTTATTTTTTAATCCTATTATCTGCCAGACTAAACTGTCAGATATTAAAAGATGGACGATGAGAAGAGAGGAACAGATAACTCCTTTCATAAACAAGAGTTGATTAGCATAGCACAGATAGATACTAAGCCTGACTTTAAGAAACAGGTTCATCTGAAAAGCTAGAACTGGTAGAGGAAAGGTGGGGAGTCGGTGGAGCACTCTGATACTGCTTTGATGAATGCCTTTGGATTTCATACCCTACAAGAATTAAAGTGTTCTGGGGTAGGGTTAGTGGGTCATATGCTTAGCATTTACAACTGCTCTATCTGTAGTTCCCATGCACCTGTCTCCCTCTAGATTACTTATTGTTTTGCCAAGAATAATCTGCTTGCATAGTTATGTTGCAGTTGTGAAAGCACTTTTGGTTTCTGCTGCAGGTAGTCCTTTTTTGGTTTAATTGCCTTCAGTTTTATTTGAAATCCAAAGCCCAGAATTTGTCTCCATGAGAATAAATTGTCAAGTTATAGGCAGTACTAAGGTGTGAAAGGAATTCAGCAAAAGAAAAAGGTATATATCAAGGCTGTTCAACTGGCAGGCCATAGGTCACATTTGTCCTATAAGGGATTAAAGTATATCGCATAGGCTCTTGCCCAGCCACTATTTCTGCAATTGCTCCTGCTGCTGTAGTGGCCAGGGTCTCTGGGGCAGGACAGCATGGATAGAAGGGCCCAGTGAGCTTGCTGCCCAGAAAGAGCACTAGCAGGTGGGCTTGTTTTGTCCATGTGGCAGTGACAGGGGAGAGGGCTCAACCAGATCACATGGTAGTGTGGGGCTCACACTGCATACACAGCGCAGAGCTCAGGGAGCCCATGTGGTATGCATCCTCTGTGACATGCAACCTATGCAATAAGTAGCCTGGGGCTCATGACTGTTTTGAAGTTAGACAGCTCTGGTATTTATTATAAAAGATAAATCTATACAATCTTATTTTGATTTTATAAGTTAAATAATGCAATAGCTATTAGCATAATCTTTCATGAACATTTTACCATGATGTCCCTGCTTCACTGACAGTTTTATATTGTGTGATCCTTATTTTAATTCTTAAACTTTCTTGATACAGTAATGGACTAGTTAGTGTTATGAAGCCTCAAAAGAATCTATCAACTGTCTCACGCAGTTGTTTTAATACAAATACAGAGGTTGCTGCTACACTGTTGTGTATGTTTTATGTTTGTTTCATACTTATATGTCAAAGCAGAAACCAGCCAAGGACCTATCATCTCTTGAACTGTTTGGTAATAATAATACCATCTCTAATATATGTTAAAATTAAATTGTAAACCTTCAAAAGCTTTTTGTGGCAAAAGGAAGGCCAAAATATTCCCAGGAAGAAGGGCAAAAAGTATAGTCTATTGCAGGTGAAAAAACAAACAAACGTTATTTTACCATCCCTCACACATAAGTATAGATGACTATTCAGAAAAAAAAGATATACATTGACCAATCATAAACCTTTCAATCATGTCACAACTTAAGTATTTTATCTCAAACCTTAGTAATCTTTGTTTTATCAGTTTCTTTTTATTTAGAATCCTGCCCTTTCTATTTCAACATCATCGTTATAAGTAATATAACAATCGGTAAGCAAGCAGAAGGGCTGGAATGGATCTGAGGGCCTCACTCTGCTATTCCCCAGAGGACCCTTTAATTTCTCTGAATCGAATCGGAACCCTCCAAATTGATTTGGAGAGATTTGGAAAGATTTGGAAATTCAGGCATAGACACAGCTTTAAATGTTTTTTTTACAAACCTCTACATTGGAGGTGGCTCATCAATACTGCAATGCTGGGGCTCATGGGACACAGGAGCATGGAGGGCTCCCCAGCGTGCTTGGCAGCAGACCTGAAAGTGGACCAGAAGCATTTCTGGTCCACTTCTGGTCCACCGGGGAGTGAGCTGGGACCCCTCCCCCCTGCCCCGGCTTGGTGACTGGTGCTTCCTGGGTCTGGGAGGAACACCTGGTGTCCCCCCATGGCCGATCCATGGCACTCCCTGGCGGACCCAGAAGTGGACTGGAAGTACTTCCAGTCCAGTTCTGAGTTCACTACCAAGCACATGGAGGGCCCTCCCGCACCCCTGTGGGATGCTCCATGTGCCCCAACATCGCACCATTCACAAGCTGTGCTGGTACCTCGAGGTAAGTAGAAAAAACTTCTAAAGCTGTGGCTATGTCCGAATTGCCTATTCTCCGAATCAGCATTGAATATTCAGATTTGGCTGAATCAAATTGGGGACAGTGATCCAAATGAAGAAATCAAATCATTGTCCCTGATTCGGGCTGAATCCGAATCAAATAGGGCCTGCTTCACACATCCCTAGTTAGCAGCTGTAAGAGGAGATGTTGTCTCCTCTTTTTTTTGCACCTAAGAATGTGTGTTTAAATGCCTGCTTGACATGCATGTCAGTGACTAAAAAAGAAAGTGACATTGTTGCATCCCTATGATGCTATAATGGCTCTTATACTAGACAAGAAACCTAAGACACGGTTGTTCTAAACTAAAGCAAAGTTTATTGAACCGTAACAGGTACAACTCTAATTAGAATTGAAACAGTGTTAGCAATTAAATATTTTAGGTTTGCAGCTAGTCAAAGCAGATGTTTACCACCCTGTAATGTTGCAAATGCAACTTCACTGGTTGATCAAGTCATAAAGTCTTGACCGGGGCTCCTAGTTCCCATGTCTGATGGCAAGACAAGATCTTGGATTGGTGACAGGATCTCTTCAGGCTTTCATCAGGAGTGTTCCAGAGGGTACACTCTCTCACCTCTCTTTATATACTATATGGCTTGCATTTCTTAATATATAACATTAGCTTAAGTCTTTCTCCTAATGCATATTAATAATCTTGTTTCTGTTTGCCAGATATGGTTACCTTTAATTGGACTTTTCTATTTTGAGGTAATCTTTTCATTCTTAGTGGGGGTAGATTTTTCTATGACTGTTCCTTTTTCACCCAGGTTATATTTATTCAGTGCAGTTAGCCAATTTCCTAATTTGTTTTAAGGGACAGTATTTTTCCAGCAGCTCCTTTCACTGGTTGCATGTTTCAATCACAATTCAAACTAAGCATGTAGCTTGAACTAAGCAGAAAAGTCAAACACAGGCTTGAAGGCCTCTGGGTCCCAAGACCTCCCCTCCTTTGATAACTCCTAAATGGAGGGATTATCACACCAGTGTCTTTGTGGGCTGTACACCCCTTCATTCCTCCAACACAGGACTCATTGTGGGGGTCTTGTAGAGGTTAACAAAAATTCTGTGCAACTGATAAACTTGGTGATATGTGCAGCCAGTTAAAGCAACAAAAAAGATGATGGTAGCAATTTGGATGCCAATTATCACCACAGTGGGGTGAAGCATTAAATTCCCAACCACATTTCCCCTTGCAGCAGTGAATCTCCAGCCGTTACTCCTACACTATGTGTTGCTACTGCTCAGGGTGCAGAACTGGCCTGTTTCATCTGACTGTTGCCATATACTGATGTTTCCTCATTCCTTTAAATAAAAGCAGGTTTTTCAAAGAAAGAAGAGACAAAACAAGGCTAAGATGGAAAGCAACCAGTTTGGATAGCTCTCAAACTCTCACCCCTTTACTGGCAACTAGACATATAGGAGACAGGGAGAAGGTTTGATTCTGAAAAGTAAAGCCAAAATTTATGTCAGAAATAAGCTGATCAGATATGGATCAGCACCATGACAGAGAGCCTATGACTCCTGTAGCTCATAGAGAGGAAAACAGGGGCAAATTGTGCTCAGGCAGTCACAACTGGGACTAGCTATAAAAGAATAGGCAGCCAGAGCCCATAAATGGGAAGTGCATATTGCTGTGATAGTTGCACAGCAGTAGTACAATACTAGATTAACCTGTGTGAGCACCAAGAAGCCTCCTGCAGGGCTAGCAGTTTCCTGTGACCAAGACAAGAGTCTTGTATGTGAAATAAGGTAAGACTACAACTGTCTGCTGCTATAGGCTACCCTGAAGGCCAATAAGCAAAACCTGTTGGAGGACAACTGCAAATAGCCCAGGGACTCACCTGATTGAAAAGGAGTAGGATTCGGCTGGCATATAAACTAGGGCTGGAGCATAAGCAGACAGTGTGGCCCTGGAGGTTGGAGTGGAAGGAGCTCTGCTGTAAGATGCCTGCTGATGAGAGTCCAATAGAGAGCTTGGGATCCCTGAGAGTTGTCAGTAAGAAGATGAGGGATGCCAGGGGGATTAGATTTAGGATGGATGGGGATTCCAGAAGAGATCCAGTGTGCTTAGAGAATTACATTATAGC